AATGACACATGGACTAGACAGCACCCCAAAAGTTCTAGTATACTATATTTAACAGAATTAAAATAAGTATTCTATTTGTCAGATTTATAGTTGATGAAGAGAAAAAAGCCTTGGAGTCCAGGTGCAGTGGCTCACACCCATAATCCTAGCACTTTGGGAGGTCAAGGGGGGAGGATTGGTTAAGTCCAGGAGTTTGAGGTTACAGTAAGCTATGATGACACCACTGCACTCCAGCCTAGGTGTTAGATCAAAACCCTGTCTCTTAAAAAAAAAGTAAAAAAAGAAAGGAGAGGGGAAAAAAAGCCTTAGAATAAAATTGGAACCCAGTCTGCTGCAACTTGGATAGAACTGAAGGTCATTATCCTAAGTGAAATAACACAGGAATGGCAATCCAATTACCGCATGTTCTCACCCATAAGCCGGAGCTAGGCTGTGGGTATGCAGGAGCATACTGTATAGAGAGGTTCAGTGGACACTGGAGACTCGGAGCTGGGAAGGGTGGGAGAGCACTAAGAGAAGAAAAACCACCTATTGGGTGCAGTATACACTATTCAGGTGACAGGTACACTAACAACCCAGACATCACCACTATACAATTCATCCCAAAAACCACTTGTACCCTTAAATTTATCACAATAAATAAATAAATAATAAATAAATGAATGAAAGGGAAAAAAACCTTAACAAAAATGGAACCCAGGCCTTTAAAGATCATGGCTCTGTTAATGGCTCTGTTGATGGTTAAGTTTGATTTCCCAAGCTGGAGTATTCAATGGTATTACAGAGGCTATTGAGAGTCATAGAATAGACATGGTGCATTGTCTTGAAGCATACATTTTACCATAAGTTGGGGGTAAATTTTATATTAAAACAAACCTGAATGTGTGATGAAATGGGCTGTAAAACAGTTCAAGATTTTTCAAGACATGGAACAGAACTTGAATTTCATGGCAGCAGATGGCTTATTTGTGGAAAAGATCCTGTAGCTTCCTTATTAGGCTCCCTGGTAATCTCAATGAAAAATGTCAAGCATCCTATCAAGAGTCGTAATCCTCACCCTTATGTTAGCATTTAAGTAATATTTCAATCTTTATCCATGTATAACTTATATGAATATTTTTTTCATTTCATACTAAGTCTGACTCTGATTCATAGGCATGGAGGAAGGGATACGAATTATGGGATTAATCTCAGCACGCTCAGTGCACACCTATGGCATGCTAGGTTAAGTGTGTCTTCTGAATATAGTTTCTTTTGCATTTACCTTGCTAAGATGAATGGAAAGGAAGTGTGGAAGATAAAAGTGAAGATAGATGAAAATGGCAAAGGTATTTCCAGTCTTGAAAGAATGAAGGGTGTAGAAGTGAGAAGGGAGTGAAATCATGTTATAGAAGCAATACTTAGGGCCAGGCATGCTGGCTCTCTTACAATCAAATTAGGATGCCCAGGGGAAATGGCTCAACAATAACCAAGGTGAGTTGACACAGACATCTCTTGGATCCAAGCCCAGTCCATGACCTCACTTCACCCCGTTAGTCCTCCCTCCTCCTGCTCAAATTTGTAGCTGAGCAATCAGTAAATTGTCAGTGAAATATCAAGAACAACTGGAAAAGGAAACAAGAATTATTAGCCTTAATTTTCTTCAAGGGAAATAATATATAAAAGGAAGGCCCAAATTGTGAATCTGGTTAGGACATACACAATGCAGTAAGTAGTACAATGCAGTCATATCAAGTGTTTCCCTCTCCAGTTATGAAGGAATTACCACTGGAAGAAGTTTAGGAGACCATGAAGCTTTCTTTGTATACATATCAAGCCTATGTGATGCTGAAAGGGATGTATTCTAGAACAGCAGGCCCCAACCTTTTTGGCACCAGGGACTCGTTTCATGGAAGGCAATTTTTCCATGGATGGAGGAGTCCTGGGGGAAGTGGAGCTCAGGCGGTGATGCGAGCGATGGGGAGGGGAGCGGCTGTGAGTACAGATGAAGCTTTGCTTGCTTGCCCTCTGCTCACCGCCTGCTGTGTGCCCTCCCTTTCCTAAGTTTCAAGGCAAATAATTTTTCTAAGTGGGGTGGGGAGCAGAGCTCTGTGGCCCAGTCCCTAACAGGCTGAGCATTGGGGACCGCAGTTCTAGAATATGAAGTCCCATGGGTGGCCAGCCTGTAAACACCTGCTTTGCTTTGCAGTTGATCCCTAATGTTCTACTCTTGCTACTGGGTTAGCTTGGTTCTTTGAACCCTGTTAAAGTGTAAATATCCCTGGGAAGGGAATTAGTTTTTCTTCATCATAGTGTAGTTATGGAAGCAGAAAGGAGAGAGGAACACTGCAGCTGATCCTGGTTCTAGTTACAGCTCTACCACTGGATTTCTGTGACCAGTGGGCATAGCTCCTCTTTGAATTTCCATGACTCATCTGTGCAGAAAGGGGCTGAACTAGATCTCTCTCATTTTTTTTTTTTTTTTGGTAATGCAATTATTTTTATTTTATTTATCTTTTTTTTTTATTTTAGTGTATTATAGGGGTACAAGTGTTAAGGTTGAACCAGATCTCTAATGTCCCTTTCAGATTCAACTTTCTGTAAGTCTATGAGTAGTGGGGACAGGACCACTTTTGGAATGGGATCTGAGTATGTTTCTACCCTCATGGCAACAGGGCAGGAATGGGGAGGCGAGCACCCAATGCCAAACTTTTCTTATGTTTCTGTCAAGGAAAATTCCTCGGGCTGTACACCTGCATGACCATAATAGTAATAAAAGCGATGGTTAATGCCTGCTCTGTGCTTCTGCTGCCTTGTTACCTTCTACCTCAACTACTCACAATTCAGAGAATTGCTGCTGTGTGGGATCATGGCACATCCAGCCTTAAATAGGTCCGCATGCTACCTGGGCTCTAAATCTTTTCAACATCCTTAAGAATCAGCCAATGGCAGTCTGCACCTCTATGGCAAGGGGGGACAGATGCGTTTGTGATCACCCAACCCATTACCTCTTCCCTCATCTAAATAACTTACCGAGCAGAAAAGGTGACAACTGACCTGAAAAGCAAGAAAGCAAATTGATTCACATACAGGTAGTTTAGAAGTGATGAGATAGCTAGGTGGAGATGTCTAGTAGGCCACTGGAAATACGAGTCCAGGGGTGAAGCCAGAGCTGAATTTAGGAGTCATTTATATACAGGGGTCCTTGACACCCCTGCTGATCCCCATGACTTCAACATTTTTTATTTTTTAAATTAAATTAAAAATTCATTTTATTTTATTATTTTTTTAGTTTCCACAAATGTCATCGACCCCCTTTTTAAAAAACATAATAATGCATGTGTATTTATATTTCTTATAATCTATAGCATCAATTAGATGATATGACAGAGAATTAGAAAAAAATTCTGAAGGATTTATGTGTTTTCAAAGTCCTAAAGGTGACTACTTCTCATCAAGTTCCAGAGAGTTAAGGCCAACGTCAAGGTAAGGGTTAATGTTCTGCTGAGAGAGTTTTTGATTCTGACTGTGTTCCTTATGTATCTCTCCATTTCTAAAATAGGGGTTTAGTTCCATTTCAATTGGGACAGAGTTCCCTAGGCAGTGGGAGGTTTGGGGGATGTCTTCAGTGTCTATGGGAGGTACCCTGTTTCCCCCAAAATAAGACAGGGTCTTATATTTATGTTTTTTATTTTTCCTCAAGAAGACACATAAAAAAAATTTATGTTTTTTATATTTCCTCAAGAAAATAAACCCTAGGGTTTATTTTCAGGGGATGTGTTATTTTTTTTTTTAAGTACGGTACAACAATCTACATTTATTCAAATATAGTTAAGTCATCATCTTCTGGAACATCATCATAGCTCTGCAAACCCCAAATTGCATCCTGAATTTCTTGACTCTATTTCCTTTAGAACCATTGGCCCCAATCTCTCATGTGGAGCAATAGAGCTCTCATGGGGCAGATGAGAACGGCTGCTCGTCTTCTTTACCGCTCAGCAACAAAATGCATGGGTTGTGCAGATGTGCTGTGTAGCCACGCCCATCACTAGGTCTTATTTTCAGGATAGGGCTCATATTGCACAAATGCTTAGAATCCTGCTAGGGCTTATTTTATGGGTAGGTCTTATTTTTGGGGAATCAGGGTAGGTGCAGGGGTGGGAAGAAAGCAGGGTGTGGCACCTGGTGGCCCTGTCTCTTGTCCTCTGGAAAGTTAGTGCAAAGAATCCTCCCCCCTCCCCTGCCCTTTCCCAGGCTGCAGCAGTAAGCTCAGGGTCTTCTTGCAAAGGGGCTGGAGCTCTGCTACCAGAGTCATGCCACTGACTTAGAGATAATTAACTGGCAGTCTCTGCCACGACCTGCTGACCCCTTTATAGGAAGCACTGTAAAGATGAAACGACTTACTGTTTTTCTTTTTTCTCAGTGTCTCTGGTGCCCAAAACCTTTGTAGTAATCATGACATTTCGTGTTTATCATTAATATTCCAGCTGAAAGCATCCTCTTTTTTTCCCCCTCTTATTCCTGCCGTGACCCATCTGCAGTTCAGGTTATCAGCTCGCTCAGACAATGCCCTCTTTAAGGCCAAAATGCTGGTGAACTGGACGGGGCCATTTTCAGCGCTGCACTCCTTCCTCACCCAGGGCATGTGCAGTGTCACCTACTTCTGATAACAGCCTTGGGAGGGGGTGCGGGGGAGGATGGTTTTATGCCACAGATACCTCATTAGTCAATGCTGTCTTCCAAATCTCCCTCCACATGTCAGCTAACACAGAGCTAGAACAATTGTTCTCATTCAACAGTTTATACACTACCTCTTTGAGCAGCAGGCTAAACCTGAGCATCTTTCTGACTCCTGTGCTGTCATTAACATGCTTCTTAACTCAAAACAGCTGTTCCTCCTTGTCCTCCTCCTCCTCCTTCTCCTCCTCCTTCTCCTCCTCCTCCTCCTCCTCCCCTCCCCCAGTCTTTGCTCCTTGGACAAACTTTCCCTATCCAGGAACTTTGGGAAAGAAGTAGTTTTGAGCAAATGAGAGTTCTGGAAAAATAAGGATTTGTCTCTTTCAACATGGATACCTCTTTAATTTTAATCATTTTAATGGAAATCTTTCCAAAATACATAGAACATAATTTAACTTTTTCCTGATGCTTTGGGATCATCACAGTGAACAAAAGCTTTGTTGCTTTGCTGCAATACAATAGGGCCCTGAAGGTCTTTGGGGGATATAAAGAGTCCTAGATTTTTGTGATTCTCAAGGTATTTTGGAAACGTTTAAATAGACTTTCTTTCTCCCTACCTTTTTATCAGGCCATTACCTACCACTCCGGTTATTAATGAACCTATTTTCCACCCACATTTTCTAATTTTCAATGTTTACTGTGAGCATAGAAGACACAGTAAACATACACACACATACACATGTACACACACGTGTGCATGAGAGCATGTGCCAAGAATTGTGAGCAAATACCTGAGAATTTTCTATGAGTAAACTGAATACATTATGAGTTCTTTATTTCAGCTTTCCAGAGGCCATTCTGGTAAATTTTTGCTCAAGTTAGAAATAGAAAGTTACAAAACAAATGAGTTTAATGTTGAAAAGTTACTCTCAGATTTTTAGGAGCCATATATTGTTTTAGAAAATTCTTCAGTTTTATTCGTTTCCACTTAAAACTAGTATAGGCGATGGTTACTAAAAGGGGATTCCTTTTATGAGAGGCCCTTCATTACATTATCCCAACTTCACATACAAACTATTTCACTATCTTTAAAAATGTTATCATGATATTCTCAAACTATTGTTATTTTTGCTTTTAAACCTACAGGTGCAAAAACAAACTGCAACCACAAGAGCTAAATCTCTCTCTCTCTCTCTCCCCTATTGTCCTCTTTGGCAAAGTTCTGTGGAAAGCTGAATAAATGAGCAGGGCCATTCGGCACAGTGTAACCCATACCTGCCCTATTGTGCAATGCCTTAAACGTAAGTCCTTTTCAACTAAACAGAGGTATATTTTCTTTTATATTGTTGACTTTGACCCTGCAGCTTAGCAAAGAACACTTGTGCAACATTTTCTGGATCAATTTATCATCCGCTCAGAGCAGACATGCATTTTTCCTCATCATTAAAGGGAAACCAAAACCATCTACATAATCCCCCATTCTGCTTTGTTTCTTTGCAGTCCTTCATGTTGTAGATTCTGAAATATTAATGAAGGGACATGAAAGTTATGTGCTCCATTCTCACTCTCAGCCCTAGTGGGAGCAAGGGCATGGCTAGGGAGTGGGAGAATGAGAAATTCCTCACTTTGCAAAAACAGTGTTGCTCAAAGTCAGGTTGCTGGACTCTACCTTAGAATCTCTCAAGGTGCTGGTCTAAAATCCAGATTCCTAGGTTGGCCTGTACACTTCCTGAATCATATTTTGGGAGGATAGTGCTTTGCCATTCGCATTTTCAACTAACGCATTTTAAATTAATTGGACTAGATATTGTCCAAGTTTTTTCTTTATTTACCAAATTTTATGCCTCTGACTCTTAAGTGAATACTAGTAGTAGTTAAATACCTACAGAATACTCACAATAAACTTTATTGTAAGAATAATACCTTTCATTTGTACAGCAGCATTTTTAACTTTTCAAAGTGTTTTCCTATAGATAACCATCTGAGGTGGGCAGGGGAGGTGTTATCACCTCCATTTCAGAGATGTCATTGAGGCCCCTGAAGCTCAATGACTTGTGCAAACTCCGCTGTAACTTAGTGGTCAGGAGTCAGGGCTGGCACGTAAGTCTGCCATCCTCATTTTATTGCACATGTGGTCTTCTAAGATCCAAGACACAAGAGGAAGCTTTATTAAAGTGTCCCTTAAAAATAGACCTGAGCTGAAATCAGTGCCTCCCGAGCCAGTCCACATGCTGTTGAGTGTGCTGTGCGTTGGCTCCTGAAAGATGAAAGAATGGACAAAGCCCTGGGTACTGGGGGACAAACAGGAATCTTCAAAACAAAGAAAATCTCATTCCTTTTCTGTTCATCCCCTTCAATTTTCTGATCTTTTCCCTCCACTCCCTCTTTCTTGTAAAGACTCAAACTCTGAAATAATTATATGAAATTAAGTCGGTAAAAACCAGGCTCGTTTCCTTAAGATTGATGTGTTAACATTTGGGGCAGTTTTCTCAGGACTCGGGGAGACTATTATTTCTGAGCTTGGCTGCAGGAATCTTCCTCTTCCCCAGGCAGAGGAGTGTCTCCTCCCCCAGAACTCCCCAGAAACCATGTGTCTTTATTTCCATGACACCTCCCCCCATGACACAGCCTAACTATGAGCAGAAGTTCATAAAAAATTTTTTTTAAGTGCTGGAGACTTTTCTTCTTTTATTTCTGATCATAACTACCCACTGTCTGGGGAAAAAAAAAAAAAGGAAACACAGCAGGCTCTAAACTTCTAAACTCTGTGAGACTGCATGCAATGAGTGTCTAGAGGTCTGAGGAAGGTGCGGGAAACTTTCCAGCTCCACCTGCCTGTTCTTATCTGTGTATCAAGAGAAGCAGGCTGGTTGGTTGTCAGCAAAAAGGCATCTTTTCATGCAAATTATATTGCTCCTTAAAAAGAAATTATAATAAAGATGAAGGTGTGATCTTGCCTGCCACTTTCCCACTGTATGGAATAAAATGAATGAGAGAGAGAAAGATAACTGGGATTCTCTGTATTATAGGGAAATGGCCTGGGTGTGCAGTGTTGAAGCCATGCTGAATTTCCCGTGTTCCTGCGGCAGCCTCTGAGGAGACCAGCAGGGTCAGATTCAAGAGGTGGTTGCCTGCCTTGACACATCATCTCTAATTATGACGCCTTTGTAAACCCCTTCCCTTTCACTTCATAGGGCTTGTAAAAGGCGCCTGCAAACCTCTGCCTTCCTGTGCCTCCCTGCCCCGAGGTAGAAATCCTCCTTTTGCAGGAAGTGCAAAGCAAAGTTCAAAGCTCTCTCCGTCAAAAGAAAGTGCGCCTGATCCAGTATAACATGATTAGGTAACAATTAGACCAAAAAGTGCCAGGGCTCCTGCAATCACTGCCTTGCCTTTCGAGAAGATATTTACCATTTCCTTGCTCAGTATAAAGATGCAAAATCAAGTAGAACACCCTTTGCGGTCAAAGCCATGGATAGCTTTGGGCTCCCTGGGGATGAAGCGCTCTAGAAGAGTCTTGATGGAATGTCCCCACCAAACACGGGGGGTGGGGTGGGGCTAAGGGATGGAGCTTAAGGGAGAGGGATAAAGAAAGCAAGCAAAGGGCCACAGACCCCAGGCGGGCCCTGTCACTCTGGTGACTTTCTGTATGACTGCCAGCCTTGTTTCCTCGCTATAAAACAAGCTCAGTTCAACCTCTGTTAAAAGAGGGCCAAAATAGGTCATAAATCTTTCCGGGCACTGAAGATCCATGGAAAACACAGCCTGATGTCTTTGACATCTGTTTCGGGTTCTCAGCCTCAGCTGGCTCCGCTGCCTTTTCTCCTGTGATAAGTCACAAGCCCCGCTTGCTGGAGCCGCTGAGTGGCAGGTATAGAGTGTCTCCCCCGGAGCCGTGGGGCCGAGGGGTGAGCGTCCGGGCAGCGAGCGCGCCCCCGGGGCTGCCCCGCTGATCCCGTAAGTCTGTGCCCAGGGGCTGGTGCAGGGAGGCCGCGGGGTGGCCGGCGTGAGCGGGCGGCACACTCGGCCTGCAGAGGGGAGGCCGGCGGCGGGTGGGAGAGCGCTGGCTGAGGTTGGTCACACGGAGATTGAATTTCAGCTGAATTAGATCAGAGCTGTGGGAAACAGCACCTCCTTCACACACACAGCCGGTCTCGTAGGATGATGTGGGAGGGCGGCTGGGGAGACAGAGGCAGGCAGCTGCGCTCCAATACCGCAGTCAGCTCCCAGCGGCTCTCAGCTAACTTAATTACTCTCTGCCACCTCTCCCCAGCGGCGTGCTGGCCAGGCTTCGCAGACTCTGGGGTTTTAGACTGAAAGGCTCCCGGGTGCCAGCGGAAGATGGGGCGGTCAGCATTTTAAAACACACCGTGCTTTGGGGAGTGAGGCTCTGTGTGCGTCGTTAAAGGAGGAAAAGCATCATTATGAAAGCATGGGAAAGGCAGGGAACTTTGAGACCCACAGCTGCAGAAGGCAAACTCCAGAAGGGATTTCGGTGGCTTTCCCTGGTACCTTTAGGGTTTGATGTTTTATGGCATTTCATTAACATGCAACGTGAGCTCTCAATACCATAACTGTGTTCACTGCTGCTGCTGCTGCTGCTATGAGCTGCTCTTCTAATCCCCTTTCTCTGCTTAATAATCTGACGCCATTTCAGTGACCCAGAATACCAGCTTTTCTTGGGGAGGCATTGGAGGAGTGGAAAATTGGGAGAAAGTTTTAGAATTAAAATGGGAACACTTGCAGTCCTATTAAAGAGGGCAAGAAGTCAGCTGCTTTGAAATCCACCCCCGCAGCAGGGGTGGGGAAAGCCTTTCCAGGAGGCAGTGGGAACACATTTGTTCCCTAAGCTGGCACCAGAGTTGCTTTCTCCAGGGCAGCCACGGCCTGGCATTCTGTACACGCTGTTTGAATCGGGAGCCTTCAAATGATCCTTTTTTCTCTTCCTGTCACTCAACAAGAGGCTGGCGGCAAAAATTCCTTCAGTGGCTTCTCCTGAACCAGGCAGAAAACAACCCCGGAGGCTGCCCAGTGCTCCCTAATCTTCTGGTTTGCACATCAATTTTGAGCCTGGCTGCTGCTGATGAGAAAATGACCTCCAGCGACTGCCTGGAGATCCCGTGTTTATCACAATGTAGTGGGCTTTCTGCATAGTGCTCCTTTTCTTACCCGGAGAAGCTTCTGGAGTTTTGTACAATGTCTGGGCCTGAGGAAACCTGCCAGGATGTCCTCAGTAGGATGAATTATCACCCCTCTGTCAGAGAGCAAGATCCAAAGCAGAGAAAGAGTCTGCTGTGTGGGGTCTGACTCAATGTTTGAATTCTCAGGAGCTCACCACTTTGTTGGGTTTCTCATGATTGACAGAAAGAGGCCATTAGAATCTGGACAAGAACTCAGGTGCTGTTTTAGATTCCCCTAGATTAGGTGGATAGCCCAAAGGGTGCGTGGAAAGACTGTAGGGAGTCTGTGAATCATCTCAAATTGGATTAAGAATTTATGTGTAAAAATTATATATATTTTCCCCAGCCCTAGGCAGAGACCTCTTAAGTCTTCAATAGATTTTCAAGTGTCCAAGACTCCTCCAGACTAAAGAACTACTGTTTTATAATGAAGAGGGACATTGACTTCCCTCAATCACAGGCTCTGCAAAGTACAATGCACTGCCTACTATATACTATGTGTACTGTATACTGTGTACCTGCTGTCCCCAACCCCTGGGCTGCAAACAAGTACTGGTCCATGGCCTGTTAGGGACCAGGCTGCAGAGCTCCACTGTCTTCCACCCCTCAGGTCCATGGAAGAATTGTCTTCCACAAAACTTAGGAACGGGGGTGCTGCACAGCAGAAGGTGGGCAAGCAAAGCTTCGTCTTTATTTACAGCTGCTCCCCATCCTCCTATTACTGCCTGAGCTCCACCTCTCCCTGACCCCTGGTCTATGGAAAAATTGTCTTCAATGAAACTGGTTGTTGGTGTAAAAAAGGCTGGAGACTGCTGCTGTATACTTTGCCACAATGGAGGCTGGATGCTTGGATCATGTAACTCAGAATAACTGGGATATGACACACAGAGCAGGCAGGAGATGCCCATAGAGTCCCTGCTGGACATGGCTGAGCTATGGGTGGAGTGTGGCTCTCACTTGGGTGGGATGGATCTGCTTGGTTGCTATCTTAGTCCCAGAATTTATAGTCCCAAGTCAGTGCTCTGGGAGGACATATTAGTGGAGGGAAAGAGCATACATAACCTTAAAGAACTTACAGTCTGGTTCAAATTTGATAGACCTCTTGGATAAAAAATTGAGATGAATATAAAGCAAGATTTGAATCCATCACATGGAAGAGTATGCAGTGGCCTGTGGTGGTACAAACTCCTTTCTGCAGGGATAGGGACAGTTCTTGGGGGAGAGGTGGTTGTCATAATACATCTTGAAAACTAACAAAAATGCCAGAATCTCACAGTTCTTCTTTCTAGAGTTGATGTTTGGGTGCAAACTGCAAGCATGTTTTGCCTTAAGAAAATCTGATTTTGATAAGTAAGTTGATTTCCCAAAGCAGATAAATCGGGGATGGTGATTATTTACATTAAATAGTAGCTATCATTGATGCAGGATTCACATGAACAGAGTTTTATGTACTTTATCTCAAATAATCTTATGACAATACAATAAGATAGGTACTATTTCTTCCATTTTTCATATAAAGAATTTAAGGCTTAGAGAGCTTAAGCTCCTTTCTTGACATTACTTCTCTACCAAGAGACAGAGGGAACCAGTGTTGAAAGCCAGCTCAGTCTATCTCCAAAGACTATATTCTTAGATTCTCCACTAGACAGCTTCTTGGTACAGGGGGATTTGATACTTTGCCAGAAATGTCAAGAACCCAAATACATCTTAAACATAGTTGGATTTTCAAAGGTAGGAAAAAAAAGAATGGCTGTTTACCAAGTGGATACTATATCCAGATAGTATGTGTCCAGGGACACAACTATCTAATTTTGTCAAAAATTAAATTTTATTAAAAAATTGAATTCTTGTGCAATATTTTCAAAATAAGTTTTCCAGTTAATGTTAGGTACCCGTATGTACAAATTGTTTCCCTCAACCAGTCTCACAAACTAGTCAAAACTTTCCTAGGACGAAGGGCATATTTTGCTCACTATTTCATCCCATTTGTGTGGTAGAATATCTGTCTTAGGTCAATAAATAATTAAGGAATCAATGAGTAAAGGAATGAACTTACTTTGAGGATGGAGATCAGAAAGTCTTATTCCTTACAATGGAAGCCAATCACCCTAGACACCAGATATTAAGATATGGATATAACTCAGTATACACCAAAAGTGAGTTCTTATGTAGAAGACTAAGAAAGATGAGAGAAAAAAGTAAGATGAGGATATAGAAATCTCATTTTTGAAATTTGAAAAACTATACTTCATTTTTCTAATGTTTAATTATTTCTATTCAGATTGGGGATATTAAATTTCTTGCTAGTTGAAACTTCTACACTCATGAACACAATACCTACCTTTTTAAGAAATCTCAATAAATGACTACTTCTATGATTTTTTTATTATTATAGCACTCTGATCTATGTGATATTCAAGCATAATCTCCTCCTTCCCTCTCCTACTGTGTGTGTTTGGTAAATGTTGCTGTGCTTGGGGTCTTTGGTATGGGGAAGTTAACATTTCATTTTTGGGGGGGTTGGGAATGCAAATAGTTCATCAAAATATAATGCTTTTTGTGAACCAGTGATCGAAAGAATGAACCAATTTTGAGGACAGCAATCATGAACTTGAATTGCAGCTTAAGAAAGGTCATTAGTGTTGAGAAGTATCCTGAAGCAAATGCTACCAAGGGGAACTGTGGACTTTTTCCAGACTTGAAAATACTCTTAAAACTACAGATAACCATTCCTTTGGAGAAATGCAGGTATTCATGTACTTAAAGACAGAGGATTTGTGCAGATGCCATCTTAAGGCTGCTTGTGGGTCTCTGGTGTGGTCAGAGCTCGTGAGTGGTAAAGTCATATAAAATTTAGCTGCCCCCTGTTTTTAGCTCAATCTCTTCCTGCCCTTATGTCTTCAAGCCAATAGCAGAGCATTGTAGAGTCTGGGGGAGGCAAAAATCATCAGGCTCAGAGCTCTTCACTGCCTGCTCCACCTGTTACGATTAAGTATTCCAATTAGATTCTTCCAGGTTTCCTTCCTTCCTTCCTTCCTTCCTTCCTTCCTTCCTTCCTTCCTTCCTTCTTCTCCTTTCTCTTTCTCTTCTTTCCCTTGTCTTCTCTTTCTTTCTTCCCTTCTTCCTCCTTCCCTTCTTCCTCTTCCTTCTTCTTCCTTCTTTCTTTCTTTCTTTCTTTCTTTCTTTCTTTCTTTCTTTCTTTCTTTCTTTCTTTCTTTCTTTCTTTCTTTCTTTCTTTCTTTCTTTCCCTCACTCATTCATTAAGCAGACATTGACTTGAGTCTCTCCTATGGCCTCATAGCAGCCCCCATCTGGCGTGATGGCACACACAAATAAGCACGTAGAGTCCAGTGTGCTTTAGAGGGTATGCACAGCTGTTACAAGAGCAGAGTGGAAGGGTACCTAACCATTGGTACTCAGGGGCAAGGAGATTCTCCTAGAGGAAGGGAGCTTGAGCTGAGCCTTAAAGAATACAAGAAAAGTTGGCTGGGAAGAAAAGAAATAGTAAGGCTGTCCAGGCTGCCAGAACACCATGCGTAAAAACATGGGAATTGGGAGGAGAGTGGAGAGGCTGGCAAGGGTGGCAGATGTCAAGAATGGAAGTTATCCTGCCTGGACTGCAGGCTGTATGTGGATCCATGCTGGGAGATGAGGTCATATGTGAATAACAATTGCTAACATTTATTGAGCACTTGCTATTTTCCAGCACTTGCTATTTAACAGCTTCTTTATATGCTTTGACTTAGTTAATCATTACACAGCCCTGTGAGGTGGGTATTCCTCTCACCCCTATTTTGCACATTCACAGGGATATCAAGCATCTTGCCCAAGAGCGCGAGGCTAGAGAGTGAAGTCAGGATTTGACTCAGAGAGCTTGACTCAGAGAGCCCATGCTCTTCATGGCTACGCCAGGTTGCTCTGATGGCCTCAGGTGTGCCTTGCCAATTTACAAAGGTGACTCTTTCCTAACTATTGGTCCAGGTTAGAGACAATACTGTCAGGTTTTAGTCTGAAATGCCGGTTCTTAGTGCACTCATGGCCGAAGAATGACCAGACACACCAAAGTAAGACAAGCACAAAAATGAGGTTTGTTGAGGAAAGAAATATAGGATTACAAGGCAAGAGCAAGATATAAGTTTACAGAGCGTGACACATATGCCACAGATGACAACTGGACCCACTGTCACAGCAAAGGGAGAGCAAAAGGAAGGGTGCACAAAGGGCCTGGTTCTGGTCTGTGTCTTGTTTTATAGTGCCCAGATTGGGCCCCTCCCTCATGGCTCAGATGTCACCATGGAACTACTTTGATTGGACACTTGGAAGCTGCATGACTTGAGTCTCACTGCATATGTGGGTTCTCCCGTGAGCCTCTCTGAAAGCTCATGTGGCTGGTGGTGGAGGGATTGAACTGCAGCAGCACCCACTTTTGTCCCCGGGAGACCCAGAATCCCTCACTGTCGACCTAATATTACCATGAGTGTGGAGATATTCATAGTTTTCTTGAGCTGATCTTTCCTTTTTTAGACCATAAGGAGTGAAGGTGCACACGCTATTTTAATATTGGAATGCCAACACGGAGGGTAGAGACCATATTGGTTTTCTTCATCAGTGTATATATTCAGTACCAAGCACAGTACCTGGTACACAGTAAGTACTCACTAAATGTTTATGGAATAAATAATAAATGAACTCATTGTTTTTTTTACCTATTATAAAGAAGTGAATTCAAACTTTTCAGGGAAAATACTTATTTCTCTCTTTTGAGATGTCAATTAACTGAACAAAAGCAATGCATTCCATTAAAAATGGAAATTTTTGGAAATCTATGAAGTAAGTTAACCCCAAGCCAAAATTTACAGATTAACTTCTTTCAAATTTACTAACCAGTGGATTGTGGGGTGTGTGTGTGTGATATTTGTATCATATGTATTTGCTTTATCTAATGTGTGCATTCCCCAATTCACAGATTGTTCAAGCTTCCTACACTTTCAGTTAAATAAAAAAGAGGGTCCTGACTTTCTATGCTTTTCATAAAATCTATGCTGAAAAGATAGATGTTCAGAAGTTGACTGTGTTGGACTTTGGAGCACCCAAGAATTGGGTAGGTAATAGAATTAGGTCATGCTGGGGTCCAGGGATGGAATTTGCCCAGTGACATTAATGCATTGATTGTTTCCTCTATATTTCAGTGTCAAAAAGCAAAGTTGTTCTTTCCTTCTGCAAGAAGGAAAGTGCATGTGGAAATAGAGCAGTGTGTTTTCTGTTTGGTCAGCAAAGCAGGAAAGGCCTTGTGTACCTTGTCCATCAACACTGATAAGCTGTGACATCAGGCCAGGAGGATCTCCAGCTGTTCCACCTACGCTGGGCCCCAGAGCATGTGGTCCCTCTCAGGAAGCCGAGGGAGCCCAGAAAGGGATGAATACCATGAACACAAATGACCTGCTACTCAAAGAGATTTTTAAAATTATTTGGCTATCCATATGTTTTGAGCTTCAAGAGACCTTCATTGTCTGAGTTTCATCTTTGTAGCTCAGAGAGTATGGGTTTTTGAGCATCTTAACTGGCACAGCTCCTCTATAAAAGCCTTCTCCAATAAGACTTGAAATTGTAAGGAAACCAGTCAAAACTGGAGCAAGACACACAATAGTTGCTTTTTATGAAATAAACATTTTTTTGTTTCTTAAGTATATTTGTGGTGTCAAATATACTTAAGACACCAAGTCTTATATTTGACACCAAGACAAAAGTATTGGATGCATTTTATTTAAATATGAAGAGTATTAATGATTATGGCTAACAAGTTTTATGTGCTTTACAGTTTACAAATGTACAAATGTCTACTACAAAGCTTGTATTTGCTCATTTGGTTCTCTTTTACCCTTTCTGAAATGAGAGTTGTTATTATTCTACTTTTACAGAAGAGACTGAATTTCAGGGAAAATATTAGGCTAAGGGATTTGCCTAGGGGGACCCCGTGCAAAATAAAGGAGCAAGAACTTGAGCCCAGTTCACCTTCTAAAACCCATTCACCTCTTATCTACTCAATGGATAAATCAAGGAAAATGGGAAACTGCTATTGAGTGTACCACGGGCTAGGTCATTTTACACATACTATCTCATTTATAAACTGCAAGGTAGGGAACTCTTACCAGAGATAAAGACATTAAGATTCTAAGAGGACCAAAAACTTATTAGATGCTTAGTAAATGGCTGAGATCTTTTAGTGAGAAATAATAGATAACTCTGGGAAGAGAGGTGTTCTTGAACTATCAGGTTACTAAAATTTCTTGAGAGTGCAAACCTAGGCATAGTATCTCACAAAAGGAAGCTTATTTGTAAAAGGGGAGTTCAGATGGCTTTTGTTGTTGTTGCCTATTTTGAGGAATATTTTCTTTTCCTTTTCAGCAAATCCAGACTGGGAACTGTTTCTTTGCCCAGCCACCTGCAAATAGACTTGAGAACAATGTAAACCACCCTCTGCAGGATATTGATTCTGGTGGAGCAAATGTCGATTAAGCAGAATGGTGGCTTTTTTTAACTGGAGGAATTCCAGATCTTTCCTCGGGCCTGTCTCTCCGGGGAAATGAGCTCTATCCTCAAAAATCTACAGAAAACCTGAGTAAGAATGAAGATTTATGATGGGAGACGCTGGGCCGGAAGACGGCTGGCTATCTGGTGGGCTATCTAGAAGCTCATCTTTGTGTTATTAGAGAAACACTCCCTCTCTTGACAGGATATGGTCTGCTTATCACATAATCTGCTCAAGTTTCATTCCCATTCTGCTTACAAATGCCCCAAATATAAAGAGATGCATTTCATTAAGACAGCCTTTTAAGAGGCAGTTTATCCCAGCTGTTGCAGTCTATCTTAAACACCTACCTTTTCACCCTAGTGTGGAGTTTACATGTTGATAAGGGATGTAAAAAAGGGAACTTTAGAAATCTCAGCAAAGGAAAAACACTGAGGCTGCCTCTGGGAATTGGAGGAACAGTAAAGAGCCCAGGAAGATTTAAGTTCCAGAACAGTCCCCCTTCTCAGAGAGGAGCCCTGCGATAATGCTTGCCTGCCTCGGGCCTTTGGGCTGACCCCAAACACCAGAGACTGTAAACACTTTTCCAGTCATATAAATGAGGGAATTCTTTGCCTGCTACTTTGGCATTTTCTTGTCAAGAGCCGGTAGCAAAATAGAAGTGAAAAATGCAGATAGGAACAGGAGAACCAGACCTGGAAGGTTTCAGCTCACCTGGGGCCTGTCTTTCCTGGCATTGCCCATCCTCATCAGTGACGAATTCTCGAAACCTGACTTCACCACACACACGTAGACCTGTGATGTGTTCCCAGGTGGCCGAGTGGGATTTGCTGGCGAATGACCTGCGTGAGCTTTCTCTCTCTCACTCCTGGGTCTGCAAGCCCAGAGAGCCAGAGGCTCTTGGTGACTGATGAGACAAGTCTGAAAGATTTTCATGGGGGGTGGGAGCAGGCGAGAGGGGGGAAGTATTCTTAATACTCAATTAATTATTCTTAATACTTAGAATTAGGTATAAATTGCAGAAAACAGGAGGGGTGGTCCCAGAGTCCTGCCAGGGTCCTGGTGCAGACTATTTTAGCTGGTAGGGGTGGAAGTGGGGAGGTACCCCCTTTGTTGGAGAAGAAACAAACCTGGGACTGTGACCCCAGTGGGCTTGCTCCTGAAGGAAGGCTGGTGTGTTTGAAGTCAGGACTGGCGTGCTCAGGAAGCTGGCTGCATCAGGTTCCCATTAGCCCAGACAGCCGATAGTGGGTTCACACCCAACATGGTAACAATTAAGCCTTCTGCTACTGGTCCTTACCCTGGGGTGAGGCTCTTTTCTTCCTTACCAATGTGACTTAAAGTCACCCTGGTTTCCTTGTGGCTCGATTTCTTGCAGATTCCCCTTGCTTCATGTTTAATCTTCTGAGACCACTCATTAGACCACACAAATTGCAACAATCGTCTCCAGCACCCAGACACTGTTCCAGACTCTCAGTGTGCTCAGGAGAAAGACTGTATCTCTCTGAAACATGAGTTGCTTCCTGTGTAAATAGTTGGCTTACCAAAAATCAGAGTTATAAATATTGGCGAAAATAAACTAATCATACATCCATACCCTGAGGCATGAAAAATTATTTTCTTCCTTTTTTTAAAGAATGGTTTAGAACAATTATCTCCATTTTCAGTGACGAGAGAGATAATACATGCACAAATGCTGTAACACGAAACAGAAAAATAAAAAGATATCATTAAAATGCTATGGCTTTTCCAAGGACGAAAAATGCTTCTCTATAAAGATGCCATTTAAGATGACCCTTGAAAAACAGGTAGAATTTGGATACATGGAAGTTGGTGGAAAGAAGAAAAGGGCACATTAGGATAGAGAACAAAAGCAAAAAAAGAAAAAAAAATTGGACATTTTCTAAGGGTTTACAGTGGCTTAAGCACCAATAGATGCTATGGAAAGTAATAAAGTATACAGACGCTTCTCCTCTTACAAGGCGGTTATGTCCTTATAAACCCATCATAAGCTGAAAAATATCGTAAGTTGAAAATGCATTTAATACAATCTACCGAACATCATAGCTTAGCCCAGACTCAAACTAGAACACTTAGATCAGCCTACAGTTAGGCAAAATCATCTGGCAACACAGAACACTGCAGAGTGTCAGTTGCTTGCCCTTGTGATAGTGTGGCTAGAGCTTGTTAAAACCCGTTTCCCTGAGCTCCACACCGGAGTGTCTGATTTTATACTCTGGTTTCACTTCAGATCGAATAAATCTTCTGCCTTTTACGAAAGATTTCCACGGAGAGGAACAACTCTTGAGTTTTTGGTCAATGTTTTGAGGTTTTGCTTCGGCAGGGCTAATTGTAAAAGAAAAAAAAAATTAAAAAATAAACAAAAACAGAGTTTCTGATTTAGTAGGTCTGGTGTGGGAGGTGATGAGTTGTGCTGGGACAAGCTCCCCTGACGATGCTGGTGCCCCCGGCCTAGGAACCCACACTTTGCCGCTGTGGAAAGGTCAGCGTGCCCAGCGTGCAGGTGTCTGCTTGGGGGAAGTAGCGGGAAACCAAACTGTACAGGGAAGGCCACCAGAGAAATATTAAAAACCAGTTTGTTATTAATTCTCTTCGTTTTCCTTACTGTTGATTCTCCATCTGAACAGAACCGTAAACACCCTTGTTTTTTTCTATTCCCAATGGCTTCTTGGTTTAGAATGAATTCTTGTGAAAGAAGAAAATAATGTTTTTATTCCTCTGGAAGAAACTACTATGGTTAAAACTGGGCATCATTTCAAAAGACAGGTTTCATCAATCTCTTCTGCAACATGCATATTTCTCAAATAGCTTTGCCTCTGCCAGGAAGTGTGGTCTGTTACCCCAACCTTTTTGCCACCAGGGACCTGTTTCACAGAAGACAATTTTTCTACAGAGTGTGGGAGCAGGAGGGAGGCAGAGCTCAGGTGGTGATGTGAGGGATGGGGATAGGCTATAAAGCTTTGCTGGCCTGCCACCGCTCACCTCCTGCTGTGAGTGCCCCCTTCCTAAGTTTCATGGGACAAATTTTCCATGGATGGGGGAGGGGCGGCAGAGCTCTGTAGCTCAGTCCCTAACAGGCCACCGGTACTGGTCCACAGCTTGGGGGGTGGGGACCGCAGTGTTATGGGATTGGTGTTATGGAGCTTTACACATTGGCTGGACACTGTCACAGTCAACCCCCCTGAGAACCCAAGTATTAAAAACATTGACCAAAGGTACATTGTAAAATGATGAATTTGTTGGTTGCTTTTCCAAGATATTCACATCATTTATTGCCTTAAATGTTATGTAAATAGAAGTTATAATCCTTATTTCATAATCTTTTTGCATAATCCTTATTCCATAATCTTTTTGCATATTCCTTGTTCCATAATCTTTTTGCTTTTGCATATTTACATCAAAGCTTCTCACCATTGTTTCTCCCCATTTTTGCAGAAAAAAAAGAAGTAATCCAGATTAATGGGGAAAAAGACTTCCAAATTTGAAACTGTTTTTAAAATGTCTTTATTCTGTCTAAAATGAAACAATTTCATAATCTTCTTTCTGCTATATAGGGTTACTTATGAGTTTCTCTCAGAGTTTATTAGCTTGATTGAGGTGGAAATGTTTTCCTGTATACTTTACTTAGTAGATGGCCTCTGACATATGTTTGAAGATCAAGTTATAGTATACTATAGTCTGTAGACAGAAATGTGCAGTGCACATTCCAAAATTTCCTTCAGTCTTTTGATTATTGAAGATAAGAGTTGTGTAGTATGCAAATGACAATAATTAGAGAACATCACAATACACACAGTTAATAGCATGATTCATATTTATGAAGTACTAATTTTGTGTGAATACCAAAAATATATACTGATTATACTGTTCAAATTTTGAATTGAGCAAATAAACAAAATAGCTAGGAAGAGAATTGATTTTATAACAGTGAGCCAAATTTATTATTTATTATCTTTTCTCATGATTTAATATATGAAGGATAAATGAGGTATTTTTAAGGTATTTCTTTATGTAGAAAGAAATGAAATACTGTACTTTCATGTATTAAGGGCTAAAGGTACTCATTTCTTCCTGAAAACTTAGAAAGGTACTTTTGTTGCACATGTAAGATAGAGGCAGGAAAACATTGCATGTGTGGAGAGCTGAACAGAACCTTCGAGGGGCTGGCTTGGTCATGGGTGCCTGCCTGGGAACCTACAGCAACTTAATGACAGGGTAAGACCAGAATCCTGGATTTGTCAGAATTCCTGACTCCTTTACTGGGATTCTTTCCAGACTATATTAAGGAGCAACTTGTTCTTGGAGGAGAAAATTCTTTTTTTTTTTTTGTAAATTTACCTTAGATTTATAACCTACTGGCATTTATTATCTCCTCCCCTACAACTTTAGGCATCTTAGTAAAAACAATATCTTGAGTGAAAATGAATTGAATACAAGAAAGAAAATTTGATTTTTCCTCTAACCCAACATCAAAGATGATTTTTAAGGTTTTATTTCTTCTTTGGCCAGATGTATTTTTCTGTGAAGCAAATTTATTAAACTGAGATCATGTTTCCATTCACTTTTGACATGTGGTGCGTATTTTCATTTGTGTGTTACTTTTAGCACATTTTGCACATTATGTTTGATAGGAGCAGACATGGGTTGTCCAGCATAATACATACATAAAGTTGTCAGTGCAGTGCGTCGTGTGTCTCTTTGAAGAAAGGACACCAGATTTTAAATAAATATATCAGTTAATTCATTAAATGCTTGTTCTCCCTTTTTGTACTCACCCTAGGGGAATCTATTCCTATTTTACATTTTATTACTCAAAACTATTTTGGAACCCCTACAGTATTTGTCCTTCAAGGTAGTTGGAGTCCCCCAAGAAATTTGGTCTCATTATTTTCTTGTCGTTTTGTTTCTGACCAGAAGTATGTTGCTCAGTGTGGTCAACGAACTCAGTTGCTTAATGACTTGGTTGTCTCCAAAAATCAGATCCACGCAGACAGAATGATGACAAGGCATGACTGAGGGGATGTGAAAGAAAGTGCCAAGAGAAGATAAAAAATATTGTGGATAATGGCAGCATCCCTGGAGTAACTGTGGCCTCCCAAGCAGACTGTGTTGATCACACACAATCTGATGTTTGTGATAAAAGGTCCATTCCCTCCCAGTTGTGTCTTGTCCACCTTGTCTTCTCAAAGCATGATTGCAGATGTTGCAACACAGCAAAATTCTGTCCATGCTTCATTTGCTTAGATGTCTCCATTTAAAATGCTGTACCAAATAAAAAAGGGAAATACTGAGTAAAGAATTGATACTGGAATGGGATCCTTCTTAGTCCCAGAAACCCTCCCTGCTTTTCCTATGCCTTCACTGCCTTACTCCCTTCCCTAGCCTGGCTCTCCTCTCTGTCCTCCTTACTCTTGGTGCTCTGATCTCCTTTGCCCACCCTGACCCCACCCCACCCCACCCCAAGCCCTCCTGGACAGAACTGTGCTTCATGTAGGTGGTTGACTGTACTGCTGCCTTTATCTTGTACTCAGTTTCTCTTCAATTCCCCACAGCATTTGTCCCCAAACTTCATAACTCCTGGCAGGTCTCCCACTCTCCTTCCTCCCCTTGCCTGTATTTCACAGAAAGAAATACAATTTTTTTAAAAAAAAGAAAGAAAGAAAGGAATGAAAGAAAGAAAGAAAAAAAAAAAAACAGTGCCAGCAGCCATCAAACCTGCTGCACCACATTTCCTAATCTTTTCCCTTTAGCTCTTTTCCACTTTCACGTCCAAAACAGTGTCCCCTGTTTTTTTCCAAGGCTGTCCTCGCCACCCCCAAACTCCCCCGCCCCATGCATACATTTCATCTTTTTTTGTTGTTTTTGAGAGAGAGTCTCACTCTGTTGCCCAGACTGGAGTGCTGTGGTGTTAGCCTACCTAACAGCAACCTCAAACTCAAACGATCCTCCTGCCTCAGCCTCTCGAGTAGCTGGGACTACAGTCATGCACAACCATGCCCAGCTAATTTTTTCTATATATTTTTTAGTTGTCCAGCTAATTTTCTTTCTGTTTTTAGTAGAGACGGGGTCTCGCTCCTGCTCAGGCTGGTCTCGAATTCCTGACCTCAAGCGATCTTCCCGCCTCGGCTTCCCAGAGTGCTAGGATTAAAAACATGAGCCACCACGGCCCCATACATTGCATCTTAGGCTTCTGCTCTCTGCCAGAAACTTTCTTTGTCAACTATCTTCTTTTCTATCTTCAATATTGCTCTCCTCCTTATTACCACCTACAGTTTCTAATTGTCCCTCTCCTCAAAGATAAAGACAACTTCTTCACTTGTACTGCCTTCTCCAGCTACTGCTCTAGTTCTGTCCTTTCAGTCTCATCTACCAGTCTTGAAAGAGGAGTCTGCACTTGCTGCCTGTGCACATCTTGCTCCACATGGCCTCAATCTGCACCCGCCCCACTACTGGACCAAACACGGTCTCAGTTACATGATCAGTGCTGGAGAATGGCCCGAGTGTGCATCCGGCTCTACTGCTCACTAGATGTGTGGCCTTGAATAAGTTAGCTCCCCTTTCTGTGCCTTAGCCTCCTCATCTGTAAAATGGGGATAATGACACTTTTGCTCCATAATAAACATAATGATGAAATAATGACAGAATGGTAAATCATTGCAGAGCCTGGAAGGATAGTACATAAGGAGGGCCAAAGAGAATGAACTAATAATAGAGGAAAGATGATTCATGCTGGGCCATCTCCCTGGAGGGTCCTTCTCTCCCCTCTGGTACCCAGTAAGTCCCCATGAGTCACTCTGATCCCTGTGCACAATCTAGTTCTTCCTCAGATCTTTCCCGAGCAAATAGTTTCTTTATCCTCAAGACCCTGGGAATTTAATCTTAGTGTTTCTCACATGGTTCTGGCCTCGTACCACCTTGCTTGGTCATGAGTTATGAGCATGTCCCATCTCCTCTACAACACTGTTAATGAAGTCTTGCAGGCTGGGGGTGTTTTTTACTTATCAGATTAGTGTTCTAGAGCTGCCATAACAAAGTACCTAGATTGGATGGCTTATACAACAGAAATACCCTTAATTTTCTTCTCTTGCCTTATTGCTCTGTCTAGGACTTCCAGCACTATGTTGAATAGAAGTGGTGACAGTGGGCATCCTTGTCTTATGTACTAACCCAATTCTAAGTAAGAATGCTTCCAACTTTCCCCCATTCAGTATGATGTTGGCTGTGGGTTTGTTGTTTATGGTGTTTATAACTGAGATATGTTCCATTTATGCCTGTTTTGTTAAGAGTTTCCATCATAAAAGGGTGCTGAATTTAGTCAAATGCTTTTTCTGTATCTATTGAGATGATCATATAATCTTTGTTTTTGTTTCTGTTTATGTGGCAAACCACAGTTATGGATTTTTGTTTGTTGAACTTATCCTTGCATCCCTGAGATGAAACCCACTTGGTCATGGTAGATTATTTTTTTTGATGTACTGCTGAATTTGGTTTGCTAGAATTTTATTGAGAATTTTTACATGTATATTCATAAGGGATTTTGGTCTATAGTTTTCTTTTTTTATTGTGTCCTTTGCTGGCTTTAGTATTAAGGTGATACTGGCTTCATGGAATGAGTTGGGAAGGATCCCTTCTTTCTCAATGTTTTGAAATAATTTTTGCAGTATATATACCAATTCTTCTTTGTAGGTATGATAAAGGTTGGCTGTGAAACCATCTGATCTGGGGCTTTTTTTTCTTGGAAGAATTTTTGTTGCTGCTTCAATTTCATTTCTCATTACTGGTCTGTTCAGGAGTTCTATTTCTTTCTGATTGAGCCTTGGGAGGTTCTGTATTTCCAGGAATTTGTCCTTTTCCTCAACATTTTTGAGTTTATGTGTGTAGAGATTTTTATAGTATTCACAGGTGGTATTTTGCATTTCTATGGCATCACTTGTAATATCTCCATTTTCATTTCTGATTGAGTTTATTTGGGTCTTGTCTTTTCTATTTCTGGTTAATCTAGAAAGAGGTCTATCAATTTGGTTTATTTTTTCAAAGAACCAACTTTTTTCATTAACCTTCTGTATTTTTTGTTTTGTTTCTGATTTCATTTAGTTTTTCTCTGACCTTGGTTATTTCTTTTCTTTTGCTAGGCTTGGGTTTGGTTTGCTTTTCCTTTTCTAGTTCCTTGAAGTGATTAATTAGATTATTGATTTGTGATCTTTCTGTCTTTTTGATGTAGGCATTTAAGGTTATGAATTTTCCTTTTAAGATTGCTTTTGTTGAATACCATAGATTTTGATAATTTGTGTCCCCTTTGTCATTTAGTTTGAGGAATCTTTTAATTTCCATCTTGATTTCCTCCTTGACCAATAATCGTTCAGCAGTAGGTTATTTAATTTCCATGACTTTCTGTAGAATTGAGTGTTTCTGTTGGAGTTGATTTCTAATTTATTACACTGTGATCTGAGAAGATATACATGGTATAATTTCTATTTTTTAAATTTGTTGAGATATGTTTTGTGGTTCCAGTGGTGAAAGAGGAGGTCAAACTATCACTGTATGCTTATGATACAATCTTATATCTAGAAAACCCCAAAGATTCCACCAAGAGACTCCTGAAATTGATAAATAAATTCAGCAAAGTCTCAGGTTACAAAGTCAATGTACACAAATCAGTAGCATCCCTATACATCAACAACAGTCAAGCTGACAATCAAATCAAAGCCTCAATAACTTTCATAATAGCAACAAAGAAAATAAAATACCTACGAATATATTTAACCAATGAGGTGAAAGATCTCTACAAAGATAACTATGAATCACTGAGGAAGGAAATTGCAGATGATGCAAACAAATGAAAAAATATATCATGCTCATGGATTGGCAAAATCAATGTTATTAAAATGTCCATATAACCTATAGTTATTTACAGATTTAATGAATCCCCATCAAAATACCAATGTAATTTTTCACAGACCTAGAAAAGATAATTCTATGGTTTATTTGGAATCAGAAAAGAGCCCAAATAGCCAAAGCAACCTTAAGCAAAAGGAACAAATCTGGAGGCATCACTTTACCAAACTTAAAGCTATACTACAAGGCTATGATAACCAAAACAGCATGATATTGGCACAAAAATAGAGACATAGACCAATGGAATAGAATAGAGAACCCAGATATGAAACCATCTACACAAAGCCATCTGATCTTTGACAAAGCAGACAACAATATACACTGGGAAAAAGAATCCCTATTCAATAAATGGTGCTGGGAAAATTGTATAGCCACATGTAGAAGATTGAAACAGGATCCAAATCTCTTACCACTCACAAAAATTAATTCAAGATGGATAAGAGACCTAAACCTAAGACATGAAGCCATAAGAATTTTATAAGAAAATGTTAGAAAATCTCTTTTAGATATTGTCCTAGGGAAATAATTTATGAAGAAGACCCCAAGGGCAATCATAGCAGCAAATAAATAAATAAATAAATAAATAAATGAGACTTAATTAAACTAAAAAGTGTCTGCATGGCAGACGAAACAATCAACAGAATAAATAGACATCCTACAGAATGGGAGAAAATATATGCATATTATATATCTGATAAAGGGCTAATAACCAGAATCTACAAATAACTCAAGCAAATCAGCAAGAAAAATCAAACAACCCCATTAAAAAGTGGATAAAAGACATGAACAGAAGCTTTTCAAAAAAAGATAGACTAATGGCCAATAAATATATGAAAAAATGCTCAACATCTCTAATCATCAGGGAAATGCAAATCAAAACCACAATGAAATATCACCTAACCCTAGTGAGAGTAGTTTTTATCAAAATGTCTCAAAATAATAGATGCTGGTGTGGATGCAGAGAGAAAGAAACATTTATACACCATTGGTTGGAATGCAAACTAATACAACCTCTTTGGAAAATAGTATGGAGATTCCTCAAAGAACTAAAAGTAGACCTACCATTTGATCCAGCAATTCCACTACTGGATATCTACCCAAAAGAAAAGAAATAATCTTATCAAAAAGACACCTGTACTTGAATATTTATTGCAGCACAGTCCTAGAATCAGCCTAAGTGCCCATCAATTCATGAGTAGATTAAAAAAATGTGGTATATGTATACCATCGAGTACTACTGAGCCATAACAGATGAATTAATACCTTTTGCAACAATTTGGATGGAACTGGAGCCCATTCTCCTGAGTGAAGTATTGCAAGAATAAAAAAACAAATGTCACGTGTTCTCACTATTAAATTGGAACTAACCGACCAGCACTCCTACACAGATGGAAGTAAAATGAGTGGAAATCAATCAGGTGGCAGGAAGAGAAGATGGGTGAAATCATACCTAATGGTTACAATGTATACTATCTGGGTGAAGGACACACTTATAACTTTGATTCAAGCAGTACAGAAGCAATCCATGTAACCAAAATATTTGTACTCCTATAATACTCTGAAATAAAGAAAAACCCAGAAAGTTTAATTTTCTCACAGTTCTGGAGGTTACAAATCTGAGATCAGGGTTTATTTCTCCTGTGTCCTCTCTCCTTGGCTTGTAGATGGCTGTCTTCTCTCTGTGTCTTCACATTGTCTTCCCTTTGGGTGGGTTTTTTTGTCCTAATGTTTTCTTCTTGTACGGACACCTGGCAGATTGGATTAGGGCCCACCCGTATGACTTCATTTCACTTAACTACCTCTTTAAAGGCTCTTTCTCCAACTACAGGCACCTTCTGAGGTACTAGGAGGTGAGCACTTCAACAGATGAATTTGGGGTGTGAAGAATTCAACCTGTAACACTTATATTTGATACCACACAGTATCTAACATGGTGCCAGTCACAGTTGTGTCATTAATTAATTAAACATCTTGGTAAAAAACCAGGGAAGGGGAAACAAGGCAGGAAGCAGAGAAAAACAATCCTCAAAATCTGTTTCCCATACGATCTTGGGGAAATGGCAGAGAAAGCAAGGGAGGTTAGTCATCACTTCCAATGTTTTTCTTTCAATAACATGTCCTCACACAATAGGATTATTTCATTAGAGTTGGGTTTCATTCTTCTTGCAAAATGATACCCCTGGGAAGGATGACATAATGGACAAAATGGAGCAAGGCAGATTCTGCTTTTGTTGCTCACTACAATTGAGCCTTCAGGGCCTTGCACACAGCAAATACATGTTAGCTATTGTTTGCATTATTGTTATTATCATGATCATGATTTTTATGGACTCGAAGCTCTATGAAGACAGGGACACTTCAGATCTTGTTCATTGCTGTGCTCTCTGGCCTCATGTGGTACTTGGCGAAAAAGTAGAAGCTCATATATTTGTTAAATAGATGAAGATCCTTAGTCTCTGAGGCTCTCTTTTCTCACATCTGAAAAGAACTAATATTTATTGAGCACTTACTGTGCTACCTGTTTTATATGGATTATTTCACTTTAATCCTCACGTTAATCATTTGAGGTAAGTTCTCCAAGTTCCCGTTTTTCTGATGAGGAAACTGAGGCAGAGAGAGTTAAGTAACTCATCAAGGTCACACAGTTAAGAAGCGGCAGAGCTTGGACTTCATTGCATTCAAACCTGAATTAGGAACCAATATGTTATATTGTCTCCCTCATGTGTATAAAGAGGGTGAAAAATTCCAACTTCAAAAGCTTGTTAAGAAGATTAAATGGAAATTTGTAAAGTGCCTGACACGGAGTAGCGGCTCAGTGAGGAGCATACCATATTCTCACTCTGCACGACCTACATTACTGTGTAGACAAGTGCTCTAGGATCTATCTGCTAACCAAAAACGCTTTCCAAATCCTCTATTAACACAAACCCCCTGCAGCCACTGCCCCATTTATCTGCTTCCCCTCATAGCTAAACCATTCTGTACTTAATAGAAGTCTATACTTCATCTTCTCATCTCCCCTTTTGTCTTGATACCACAAAAATGAGACTTCTGCTCCCCTTTTCTCCTCAAATTACTCTTAGCAAGATAACCAAAAATCACAAACATGCTTTATCCAAAGGGCTCTTCTCTGTCTCATTGTTTTCAACTTCTTGGCATCATTCAACACAGCTGATGCCTCTCTCCTTCTTAAAATGCTTTCTTCTCCAAACTTCTTGGTTTTGTTTCACTTCTCTGATTGGTCCTTCTTTGTTCCCTTTGCGGGTTCCCTCACCTCCATTCTAAGTCTAAATGTTGAATTATCTCAGGCCTACACTTCTTGATTTTCTGGCCAGGAAATCACATCCAGATCCCTGACTTAAATGCCATCTCTATGTGGATGGTCCTAAATATCTATCTCTAGCCTCAACTTCTCCCTGGAGGTCCAGATCATGTATCCAGCTTCCCATATGACATTGCTAATTGCAATTCTAATGGACATCTTGAACTTAGCATGAAATACAGTTCTTGATTCTGCATTCCTTTCCTTTTCCCAGCTCAGACCTCCCACATTCTTCCCAACACAGTTGTTCAGAACAAAAATGTAAGAGTCACCTCTAAGTCTGTATTTTCCCTTATCCCACATTTGGTCCATCACCAAGTTCTGTTGAAGTATTGACCTCCAAAATGTGTCTCAAATCCATTCATCTCAAATCTTCCCCTTGGAATTAAAATAAAATCCAGAGTTCTGACATGGCTTCCAGGGCTCCCCGTGGTCTAGCTCCACTTGACTCTAGGACCTCCAGCGTGGTTGAAATCCCCCTTGTTCATGATGCTTCAGGCACACTGGACTCTACTCTGTTCCTTGAACATGAGAGATTTATTTTTGTCCCAGGGCCTTTGCAGTCACTATTCTTTCTGCCTGGAATTCTTTCTCCAAGATAGACACATGGCTGACTCCTTATCATGCATGTCTCAACTAAATTGTCATATCTTCAGAGAAGACTTTCATAAACATGCTGGTTAAAGTAGCTTCCAACCCACAACTCCATGTTTCTCTATTTGGGAAAAATGTTTGGCTATGAATAAAAATAAACCTAACACAGGCCTATCCTGATAGAGCTTCATTTGTCTCACATATTCAGAAGTCCAGGGTAGTTAAGACAAGGCTATGCAAGGCTCAGTGATGACAGCGGGGACTCATGCTCTCTCTTACGTTCTACTCTGCCACCCTTAACATCTTGACTTTCTTCCTTGTGATTATCACTCCATGGTTGCAAGATAGTTGCTGTGCTCCTGGGCATTCTATCTGTGTTCTAAACATGAAGAAGGGAAAGTTCACAGGATCAAAGTTTTTTCTTACATGGTTATGCATTTTATTGGGCAGGGAAGCACTCCTCAGGGTATTTTGTCTGGACTCATGGATTTGTGTCATGCTGCTATCCCTAGAAGTACGGGAGATTGGGGAAATAAGCATTTCATCTTTCTGGCATGTACACTAGAAAATGCAAGGGGCAGGGGGAAGTGAATGATATAGGACAGCTAACCCCAGCCACCTTTTAAGTCAGATTGCTCTGTTTACTTTTGTTTTATAGAATTTATGATTATGTGAAATTAGCTTATTATTTAATTGTTTTCTTACTTATGGAATGCTCTTATTTATGGTAAGCTGCACAAGAATAGTCACCTTATCTCTCTTATTTGTGGCTATGGCTAGAAGAGTCCCCATAATAGGCATTCAATGATCATTTGTTGATTATCAAATAAGCAAATGAACCAAAAAAAGAACACTTGTCTCCATATTACAAATAGATTTCTATAATACACAAAGCATTAGATAATCAAACTTTAATTATAAGCATCCTATACAAATTGACTGTGAAGCCATCAGGATGCTGTTGAGTGAGCTGTCCTTTTGATCTGAGGAATTATAGTGGTCCTATTCACTATGGTTTTATTGATAGGAGTGATGGTATCTTCTGTGAGGTCCACACTCTCTCTCTGAGTTGCCTTTGTGACAGACAGCTCAACTGGCAGGATGTCCATGGGTCAGAGAATCACACCGTCTTCCCACAGGATTCTGCTACTGGCCCTGTTTGGTTTCATGGTATAATTCACCAAACTTCCTGGACACATACAAGCTCTAGAATATTATATGAAAATACAAATGGCATATACACAGGCATGGTCAGAACATGCCACGTTTCTATGCCAATCCAAGATTCCATTTAAAGGAATGGATTTAGTAGTGGCACTCAAGCTCAAGGATGAGCATGGTCCCTGTTGGAATCTAGACATGCCTGGTAATGATTGCTGAGCTAATAGAGTGGTCTTTTTTGCAGAGGGCACTGAAAACCCTCATGGGAATCCCTCACCCTAAGGAAGAGCGAGGCTATTAAGTTCAGGCCAGTACCAGTGTCTTGATGATCAGCAGGGAGAAGAGAATCTGAATACTGCCCCTTATCCTCACATGAGCTCTTCCCGTACTCATATCTGGATCCAGGGGAAATAAGATACTGTAAGTAAATATGGGAAGAATTATTTTCATTACAAATCCTCCAAACACAAGGCACAGAGCCACAGTGCTTTGATGCCTGTGTAATAAGGGTTTACACAAGGGGAGGAAGAAGTGTTCTTTCCCCATCTTCCTGGCTTACAGCCTTGGCTTTGATGTGTGGAGAGCTTCAGAGAATGCAGACCTCTTCAGCTTGTCGAGGTCTCTAGCATGGTAGCTTCATCTTCAGCAACTTTTTCCTGAGCATGTTGGACAACTCTAGGAACACTCAGAAATAAGAAGGACAGACCTGGGTGCAGATGGAGGTTCTACAACAGTAGGTAGGACAGAAAGTTTGAGATGTCGGTTTCAGTATTTGTGATAGGAACCCATTTGAAACATTAGTTCCCACTCCCACATCAGCCTACTGAAGTCCATAGAAAATCGGCTGCATACATTTCTTGAACAAATATTTATAGCCGGGCACTGTACTAGATGCTGAATATAGAGCAGGGAACAAAATAGACAAAGTCCTTACTTTCCTAGAGCTTGCATTCTAGAGGGAGTGTCTTAGTCTCTTCAGACTGCTATAACAAAACACCATAAATGGGATAGCTTATAAACAATAGATATTTATTTCTTACAGTTCTGAAGGGTGGGAAATTCAAGGTCATAGGGCTGGCAGATTTGGTGTCTGGTGAGGACCCTGCTTCTTAGTTTATTGGTGCTATCTTTTTTCTGTAACCTCACATGGAGAAAGGGGCAACGGTCTCACTGAGATTTTTTTAATAATGACACTAAACCCATTCGTGAGGGCTTTACCCTCATGACCAAATCACCTCCTAAATATTCCACTTCCTAATACCATCACCTTGGGGGTTAGGATTTCAACAAAGGAATTTTTGGGAGACACATTCAGACCACGCAGCAAAGAGAGATAAAAAAATAAAGACTTTCACAATAAAATTGATGAAAGGGCTAAAAATTGGATATAAGAAGAAAAATTGAGAATATTTCATCAAGAGTCAAAAGAGATGTTTAGAGAGGATTATTTTGGGGAGGAAAACACCAACTATTCTCCATTTCCACTCAGAGCTTCGAGTCAAAACCAGCATCTCTATGAGCAAGACTAAATCTTATGAAGTTAATCCTTTTTGTCCCCTCTCTGTGCACCTAGAGTCTCATTGCCTCTGCCACACATGTGGCTTGGCATTGTGATTTATGAGCATGCTGTCTCTGTGGCTGGACTGTGAGCTCCTGCACCCCAGGCTCTGCAGAGTCCTGTGCAGTGGCGAGCCCATTGCAGGGGCTCGAGACATATCTGGTGACCATCCGACAGAGTGAATGAATGGAGTCCCGTTGCAACAGGTGAGGTTTAGGTCAGACATAAATGCTTCTTGTCAGGCGCATGAAATGCTAAAACAGCTGTGAGGGGGAGGTTGTGGTTCACACCATGTCAGGCTTCAGCTCAGGGAGGATTAGCCTGTTGGTTGCAGCAAAGTCACCAGGAGTGGGTCACTCTAAGTCATTCTGGAGAGCCAGGAGTTCAGTGCAGCTCACTGTCCTCTGAGAAAGCCTGTGTGAATACACAGGGTTTCAGAAGCCTAGAAATAGATAGGGGGGTGGGGGTCACGGTTCAGGGGACTCTGATGAATCTCAGGCCAAATCCTAAAAATATTCTACCATTTACTACCTTGACCAGAAAAAGTATGTGTGTAATCAGCTTGTCAAGTTCTGCAAAATGTTTGGAATTTTTATGAATGACCCATATTTTATCCATGCCATTCCCATCCTAAAAAGCAATATATGCCATGAAATCACCTCTTGAAGGCAGGGAAGGTCCTGACCTAGTATGCAGCGGCTATTTGATATCTTTGGGGAATACGAATGCAAGGGAATGAGAAATGAAGCACCCTGGCTATCTGGCAACACTGAAAAAGAATAAATAAATAAATGCAAAATAGGAAAGAGAGGACTAAATAATGACACCACACCTTGGCCATTGTTGGTCTACTTTGACCAAGACCTGTAGCAGAAATGCATTTTATATTATGATCCAGCCCACAGTAACGATACATCATCCATCTACCTTCTTGAAATAAAAATTTCACGAAACAATATTTACCTTTTCTATGGGCAGTGTGCTCTGATATTTCCTACTCTACTCTCTTTCTTATTTTTTAAAAAAAGCTGGGCATAGCCTACTAAATTGAGTGGGCTGTGGCTGTCAATTTGGAATACACTGCCCCAGGTGGCTTTAGAGTGATTTGGTTATGTGGTTAATTGGGGCTGAAACATCGTTCTGTAATGTGAGTTGCTGGAACATCTCAGGGCTTGAAGCCTGTGCAGAGAATGTTGACATCTGTCTTTGTGCTGCTCCAGGCAGGTTTGGGAGCCTATTAGCGCTGTGCTTCCAAAGCATGCTGGGTGAAGGGTCAAGGGACTGAGTGAGTAGAGTCACTCCTTTGTCTCTTGGCCTCGAGTCTTCCAACATCTCCACTCACAAGACAGAACTTCAGCAAAATCTCTTTGATTCAGACTCTGTGACAGAACGGAATCTGTTATCATTTAGTTAGGAGTTAGTACAAATGCTAGTCTGAGAAATGCAAATTTATTCAAGTGATATTTTTAAGTCCTACACAGAAAATTTCAGAGTCTTCTCATTGTATTCTGAAATGCTAATCAAGGTTGGGGCGTTGGGAAAATGAAGTCCCTCCCACCGCTACTCTTACTTCCCTCTGTCAGACAGATAATCTGAATCCAGAGAATTTGATTCTAGTGGCCATGTCCTTGGTTTAGAGAGGAGACTCTGGGTCTTAGGCTAGCGGGAAGGAGCCTGTTGCACCTCCATGTGAGAAGGGCAGTCCTGCTAATAAAAAAATGATTCTTCCACCAGGGATGGATTATTCAATGTTATGCTGAGAAAAATGAGCGTTTTAAGGGTCAGAGGTTAGTGTTAGTATTGTCAAGTCAGAGATGCCCTTAAGGTCCCCTAGTGAGGAAACAGAAGATCTGGGTCCCTTGCTGGAAGGAAGCTCAGATTTGGGTGGAAGGAGTCCTCTTCCCCTTTGCTCTGGGACCCGGGCAGACACCAGCTCTTTTTAGTCACTGATGTATATCTAGTGTCTCACGAGGGTTTGGCATAGTCTGGGGACTTAAAAAGTAGTTGTGGGACAACTGACAGGACAACTCCCTTTCCTGGGAGGCCTATGCCTTGAGGTTTTTCCTTTATGTGGCACAAGGGCAGTTGACAAGAGCCAGAAATTCCATTCTGTCCTCCTCCACTGTAATTCCCCTCCGAGATGCCATGAGCCTCTCAGTAAAGAGCTTTCGTGTGTGTGCACTCGCCATGCCACAGGGTGGTCAGGGGTTGTGGCCTTGTGGCCAGGGCAAGGGACTAATGTGTGCTCTTTTTCTTTCCAGGCTCTTCTGTGCACTGAGATGTGGAATCCCCTGGAATCCTCCCACTGGAGGCATAGGGACCGACTGGGAAAAGGCTCAGCTGTCTGCTAGCACCATGGGCCAGCAAAGGAACCCCTTGCAGAAGGAAAGAGGGCTGCAGCAGCACCTGAGTTTAATGATGTGGCTTTGGAGAAACCCCAAAGAGGTCTGCTCTGTGTTATATGTGGCTATTGTGCTGATTTTTACTTCCACTCTGCTGTAATTATCTTCAGGCACCCATCCATCTATTGCCTTAAAGATACGAATACAAACTTCTGGATTTTTTACAGCATCTCCAGTCCTACAGTCTTTCTGTTTTTGTTTTTGTTATTTCCCCCCTGAAATGTTGGCTGTGTTTTCAGAAAATTTTTGTTAGGGAAGACATGATGTTTGGAACACATGTAGGAGACTGACTGAGATTTGTGTGTGCTTGTGTCTATAAGATCAATGCCAGCTTCCAGAAGGATAGCTCTCACGGGGCCAGCCACACTTTCTACTTGTGAACTGCACGAGGCTTAGCAATGGTACACAGTAAAATAGATGTGAAGTATAGAATAGACTCACAGATCTTGCTAATGGAGTAGAGTCACTATGAACCAGAAAAGGCTTATTGCTGCTAGAAATCATGCAGTTATAAGGAATCTAAAGTCAAACAGTTGTGCAATGTTAGGGTAAAACCAACTATACCTTCTCAATGGGAGAATATAGCAAATGAGTGGCCCTGTTTTCTGTAGATTTAGGAAATCACTAATAAGGCATGAGGCCTATAAGAGTTTTAACAGTATATTAACTTTATAGAGGAATCCAATGCCAAAACTGTTAAAAGGAAATATTGACATGACTATGGATTGCCTTTCTTTACCCAACATTTTCCTCTAGCAATCTTTCAAAGCTTCATGAGTATGTTAGCTATTTTTTTTTTAAACTACATTTAACAAATGAAGACACTAAAATAGGAAGAGTTTAGAATTCAAGTTCCAGTTTTGGATGGTTTTCAAAACATGTTCTCTTAGATGATCTCATTAAATTATAACAATCCTGTAAGATGATGCTATTAGGATTAGTTCTGTTGAGGTAGAAAAAGATTGGAAGAAGCTGGAAGCTAGACACTCATTGCTCCTTACCTCTGTCCCTAGAAACGTGCGCTGAGGCCAAAGCAAAGGCTAATCCAAAGCCTTTGTTAGCACAAGGCTTTTGCCCCTTGAATCCTAGCACGTGTCTGGGGGCCTGGGGGCACTGCCTGGAGGACTCCTGTGAGAAGTGGGCCAAGGTCCGTCCTTGCTGCTTGCCTCTAAGCTGCACTTCATTCTCAGCCCTCTGTTTTCCTCCTCTGAGTCCAAGGAGAGGATGGGTCCAAGAAAAGATGAGACAAGAAAAGGATGGAAAAGGAGATTCTTTCTAAGCCTCGAGCAGGCCTGGCTTATTTTACCTCATTAGAGCAGAACAGCTACTAGACTGGAGTAGCTCAGGACCTGTCTGAGTTACTGGCCCTGAGGGCTTAGCGATTCAAAGTGATCACAGGTCTTTAGAGGGTGAGACCCTACTTCTCACCACTCAGTTTAGGAACGAGTCCTTGGTTCATCCATATCAGCTGGCATTCTCCTTAGGGAATAGAAAGGAGGGGATGCAGGAAGAATGTAAGGTAGACTTGAGCTCCCTCACAGATTAATAATTATTCCTATATCATAGTTGAAGACACTAAGACTCTGAAGTTTAAGTGGCTTGTTCCAAGTCACAGAGCTGGGCAGGGGTAAGCCACAAACCTGGGTCTTCTCTCTCCAAGCTCAATACAACAATCGCATCCGTTCTGGCCTTCTGTCTGGCCCACAGAACTGCATTGCCTGTTCTTCCACTCCCCACTTCCTGCTGAGTTTGGGCACATTGAGCAGACTGGGCCATTGCCACTAAAGAGCTGTGAAATGGAATGCAGGGAATATATATGAGTCTATAGTGAGTGTAGTTTCTCATGTGCAGAGGAAGGAAAGGATCTGATACATGAAGAAAGATTTAAAGGAGCTAAATAGGTGGAACCGGGATACTTAATAACTACGAGGCATATGATTATCAGGCTGCAAATATTTGAAGGATAGAAACACCTGAAAAGTTGAACTATTTAGCATGGAATATAGGATATAATGAATGAATGAATAATGGGAAGTCGAAACAGGTAGCATGTGTGGCATGAATACACTGGACAAAGGGATGAGTCACATCCTGGGCAGGACAGAGCGGAACGGCGTGAGATTTCATTATGCTACTCAGAATGGTGTGCAATTTAAAAGTCATGAATTGTTTATTTCTGGAAATTTTCATTTCATATTTTCAGACTGTGGTTAACTGTGGGTAACTGAAACTGTGAAAAGCAAAACCACAGATAAGGGGTAACTACAGGTAAATCCCTTAGAAGAGTGGCTTGAGTCTAACAAGCATCAGTACATGTTGTTTATATTTTTGAATTTTATATACTAATGAGCCTTATGGTAGACTAACTTTGTGTTTATCTCTTTAATAGATTGTGAGCTGCTGGGTACTGACTAAAGATATATATTCACTTTCTTTGGCTCATTTAACACTTTTTAAAATTGATACATAATAGTTGTACATATTTTTAGGGTACATATGATATTTTGATACATGCATATAATGTATAATAATCAAATCAGAGAAACTGGGACATCCATCACCCTAAACATTTATCATTTCTTTGTGTTAGAAATATTCCAAATTTTCTCTTCTAGCTATTTTCAAATGTACAATAAATTATTATTAACTGTAGTTACTCTATTGTGCTATGGAACACTAGAACTTATTCCTTCTGTCTAACTGTAAGCTTATACCCATTCACCAACCTCTCTTCATCCCCACCCCCACTCTTCATGGCCTCTGGTAACCATCATTCTCCTCTCTATCTCCATAGATCAACTTTTTTAGCTTCCACATATGAGCGAGATCATGTCATACTTGTCTTTCTGTGTCTGGCTTATTTCATTTAATGTAACATCATCCAAGCTCATCCATGTTGCTGCAAATGACAGAATTTCATTCTTTCATACACACTGCATTTTCTTTATCTATTCATTCACTGATGGACACTTAAGTTGATTCCATATCTTGGTTATTGTGAATACTGCTGCACTAAACATGGGAGTGCAATATCTCTTTGACATACTGATTTCCTTTCTTTTATATATATACCAGCAGTGGGATTGCTGGATCATTACAGTAGTTCTATTTGTAGTTTTTTGAGGAACCTCCATACTGTATGGCTCTACTGATTTACATTCCTACCAACAGAGTTTGCAAAAATAGACAAGTGGGATTATATCCAGCTAAAAAACTTCTGCACCACAAAGGAAACAATCAACATAGTCAAGAAAGAACCTACAGAATGAGAGAAAATATTTGTGAATCATCTATCCAACAAGGGATTAATAACCATAATATATAAGGAACTCAAACTACTCAATAGCAAAAAGTCCCACAAATAATCTGATTAAAAAAATGGGTAAATGATTCCGAATAGGCATTTCTTAAAGGAAGACACACAAATAGCAAACAGGTACATGAAGAAATGCCCAACATCACCAATCATCAGGGAAATCCAAAACAAAACCACAATGAGATATCATCTCACTCCAATTAAAATAACTTATCAAAAAGACAAAAAACAGATGGTGTCAAGGATGTGGAGAAAAGGGAACTCTCATTAACAAATAGTTTTGAATACCACTATGTGTTAAATACTGGGATGCAGCGAATAAGCCATGCTCACTGTCAACCCTTTTTAAGGCCTAGAACATTCCCAGAAGAGAATATGTGCTTACAAGTATTCGTAGAGTCTAAGTGGAATTAGGACTGATAGAAATAACTGCATTTCATGGCAAGGTGGCCCTGGTATATCCAAGTAAAGTCAGACTATAAAGTCTGTTCCAGGTCCAAAGAATAATGAGAATGATAACTTGGACTCAAGTGACATTGCTGTCATGTGGGGTTACTGCCAAGGCAGCAAACAAATACTGCAAAGTCTGTATCAGAGCTAAAGATATGAGCGAAGTGACAGGACCACCATGAGGTGGTTTCAACAGCCCACTCAGCCCACAAAGCCAGATGGTTGTGTCTTTTTATACCTTTTGGGATGGTCTGAGGCATGGCATCACTCAAAGTTTGCCCTGTGACTAGATAAGGAAATTCTTATTGTGCCTGTTATAGCCACATCAGTCCACATTCTCTTCCTCACTATGCCTTCAGGCCTATTCAAATTAACCAAGGCATTTTGGAAATAGGAGGTTTTGCCTTCCTAGCTCAGATGAAAAACCTCTTTGGTGGCCTAATCAGGATAACTATTAGCAAGGGGGATGGAAAGAGGTGTGTAGGTTTTGACATACATAAGAAGGATAGTAGATTGGACTTGATTATTTGAATGTACAAAATATATCAGTGAGGATGCAAATAATTGAAACCCTTTCTAACACTGGCGAAAACAAAGGAAATGTATTGTCTTAACAGAAGACTTAAGGTTGGGACCAGCTTTGAGGTTTGTAGGTTCATCCGCCTAACATTCTCTGTCTCTCTGCCATCCACGGCATTGGTTTCAGCCTAAGGCTGGTTTCCCAACAAACCCATTGATGGCTACTCTCAGTGACATGATTTGGTTTTTGTTTTTGAGACAGGATCTCACTCTGTCACCCAGGCTAGAGTGTAGTGGTGCCATAGCTCACTGCAATTTCAAAGTCCTGGGCTCAAGATATCCTCTCGTCTTAGCCTCCTGAGTAGCTGGGACTACTGGTGCGTGTCACTATACCTGGCTAATTTTTCTATTTTATGTAGAGATGGGCTCTTGGTCTTGCTCAGGCTGGTTTTAAGCAATCCTCCCACTTTGGCCTCCCAGAATTCTAGTATTACAAGCTTGAGCCAAAATGGCTGGCTTTTTGTTGTTGTTGTTGTTGTTCACAGGGAATGGGAGAGAGAAATGAAGTTGCTTTTTCTGAGAAGTCTAGAGCAAGCCTCTTCTCATGCTTAGATCTGCCCAGCTCTGAACCAGTTACCAACTAGCAAGGGAGATGAGATTGCCATGGTGAACTCACAATCATGGTGGGGAGAGTTTCAGGTGCAATGGATGTTGGGGGAGGCAACCTCAATGTCCATTAACTTAGGCAAGTAGGTAACAGGAGTGCCATTTACTGAATAAAGGAATCTAGGAGGAAGACTTGGTCTGGGGAGAAGATGATGAGCTTATTTTTAGACTTGCATCCTAATGTTTGTTTTCACTTCATATAAGAGTCCAGAGGATACTTGGACCACTAGAGAATTTCTGAGGACATATTCTTAACTAAAAAGAGTGTGGGCCCAACAGGTTAGACACTCTGTTAGAAGCCTTCTTCTATTGCTAATGTGGATCCTATCCTAGCTGTGGCCAAACCGGTCCTGCCACACTGCAGAAAATCCATGTGTGAATAGTTTTCTGCTCCCAAGGGGATGTTCAATTGCTCCTTACAAAAATCATCTCAGCATGCTACCATGGGGAGGTAGGAGTGCACTACAAACACTTGCTGCAAATGCCAGCTTGAATCTATGGTGTGTTTGGAATTCACAATTACCTGGCAAAGCATAACCTTCAAGAGATCTTGAGAAGCAGCATGTGTGGTGGTTAGGAACATGGATACAGGAGTTGAAGTGTCGGGGTTCAAGCCTCAGCTCTACCTCTACAAACCGTGTGCCCCTGAATCAATTACTTAATCTGTACCCACTTTCCTCACCTGCAAAGTGGCGAGGATTGTGATAATAATAGAATCTACTTCACGGTCTTGTTAGCGAGTTAATCATACCTGAAATGCTTACTAAAGTGCCCGGCACATAGGAAGTACTCTTTACTTGCTTGGATGCTAATTATTTTTAAAGAAATAAATTCTGAAGGTAAAAGTCTATACCTTTCTTCGTTTTATCAACACAGTCTAAACCAAATTGTGTGCTCAGGTTTTGATTAGCCTGTTTCTTTGTAGCTCAGCCCTGTAACTTGATACAGAATCAAAAGCCCATCCCAGAGGGTGGTGGTGGCCTTAGGGCTGCTTAACACCAAAGCTGCAGTCTCAGGCCTCCTCAGGACATGGCTCCATCTCAGCCACAGGTGGCCTTGTTTAACTGATTACATCCAATTAAAGGGAAGGTCTTAATCTGCCTTGCTAGCACTTAGAATCAGCTAAAATGTTTGACATCACTTCCTGAAGCTAAGATCCCCTGCTTCCTCTTTCCCACACAAGACAAGCAAAAAGAAACAAATATTCAAATGGAGGCATTTTCAAAGCCCTTTAAAATTTGTATTGAAAAGATGATTTCTCCTTCCCTTTTGCTTTTGATGTATTTATAAATCACTTATGGAATAAATAATACTGGGGAACTAGAAATATCTACTATAAATATTTTAGGATCTTTTTTCCAGGCTTTTATCGTATTTATAGATTGTATTTGATACAGATGTGATCAAAGTTTAAATACAATTTCGTATTCTGAATTTGGTTTCATATAACTTTATAAATATCTCCTATGTTGCTATATATTTACATTCGTTGTTAAAATTTGTGATAGTTGTATTTCACCATGTTTGTTTTTCCATTGTTGAACATTTAGTTTTAAGAATTATATCTTATAATTTCAATGATTTCCTCCCCACCCCCAGTATTTTTAGTTTCTTGTTTGTTTGTTTTTGAGACAAAGTGTCACTCTGTTGCCCAAGCTAGAGTGTCGTGGCATCAGCCTCAAACTCCTGGGCTCAAGCAATCCTCCTGCCTCAGCCTCCCAAGTAGCTGCGACTAAAGGCATGCGCCACCATGCCCTGCTAATTTTTTCTAGATCTTTTTGTTGGCCAATTAATTTCTATTTTTAATAGAGGCGGGGTCTCGCTCTTGCTCAGGCTGGTTTCGAACTCCTGACCTTGAGTCATCCGCCCGCCTCGGCCTCCCAGAGTGCAAGGATTACAGGCGTGAGCCACCGCGCCCGGCCTAGTTTCTTATTTAGGATCAACTTTAGACAGTGGAATATCTGGGCCAAAGGGTATGAACATTTTTAAGGCTGTTGATTCACACTGTCCATTCTAAGACGTCTGTCCCCACCAGCCTGCCCACCAACACTGGGTGAGAGCGCCATCATCAGAAGGCACACAGATTTCATCCCAGTGCCTGTCCAGAGGAAGCTGGTAGGGTTGTGATCTCTCTCCCTCGCGAGTTCTCCCATTCTGATTGTGATTAAATTAAAAACAACATACAAACTTTACCATCTTAACCATTTTTAAGTATACAGTTCAGTAATGCTAAGTATATTCACATTGTTGT